ACATTTTTGCATTCTAAGTATCCAAAAATAAATTTTTAAGAACTAATTTAGATTAATTTTTAACAATAGTTAATAAATGGAAAATATTTTATATATTAATATAAAATATCTGTTCATATTTAATATAATATAAAATAAAATAAATAAAATATAAAATATGTGTTCAATATATAAAAGTTCAATATATCCACTTGCCAGCACTCTTTATAACAGGGTATAACGCTTACAGGGCACATAGAGTACATGCATGGAAAGTTCCCCAAAAAGGCATCTCCTACATAATCTGCATAATAAATTTACTCCAGTTCGATATTCCCTCTCTCTTATGGCACTCACATAATGCAGGGTACAATACTTCGTATCATTAGCAACAGTAACAATGTTAACTGCCATCGCAACGGGCGTTATGCGTGGCCCGTTTCCCGTTGCCCGTTGCTAGACAGCCACATGACGCCAACTATGATTCGCAGTTTGGGGGGGGCAACAACAATCACAGCCAAGTGGCGGCAGATGACGTCATGTGCTGCTGCTGCTGCTGCTGCTAGTGGTGCTGCTGTCGGGCAACACCGCCACCACCAACAATAACAAACAACATGAGTAAAGACACAGAAAAAAAGAAGAGAACGAAATGAACTTTGAGCATAGAAAACAACAAAAGGCATATAAACAGCCAGAAGCTAAGCGACAAACTGTATACAAAAGGGGGGCGCCACAGAGCAGCAATACACCTGAGCTACAGCCCGCCTGACTGACCCTAAAAATAACAGCAACAAGAGCCAGAATAGCTTATATTGAAAATGTCAGCAATGCTTGCCTCAACAGGTGAGCAGCAGGAAGCAGTTAACGAAAATGCCAAACAAATTTCATTTCCACACACACATATATGTATGTATTTGTATTTGTATTTGTGCTTATACGCTCTAGTATCAGCTGTTAAATAAATGATTACTGACCTCGAGCTTGATTTATTGGCTAAACGCAACCATTGAACTACAAATATTATATATACAAAAAAAAAAATATATCATACACCAATACACATACATACATACACATATGGATTGCACATGCCTCCAAGTGATATTCATAATTGATATACCCCATCGGCTGGCCTGCGTGTCATTCGATTCGGTTGCATTTACCTGATTGCTTTGACAATATTTCGATTTAGATATGATCCACTCTTGTAATCAGACGAGCGACGCAATAATGCCCGATGTCATTTACGTTAATGCAAGCTGAAATTGCTTTACAACAGCAACAACAACAAAAGAGGCAAGGCAACAGCAACGGCATGACCCATACGCATTTCCGTATACCAATAAAAATGCTAATAACAATTTCATATATACCCTATAAATATGAAGAGTGTGGGGTATACTGAAAGCACAAATAATAGTCTCTAAATATAAGCGCATTTAGTGTATATTAAACGAAGGTAGTCTAATCAATTTGGAAATTTATAAAAAATTAATCTAATAATATATTTAAAATATATGTATATATCTAATAATATATCTAAGATATTAATTTATATTATTTTATATTTTATATTTTATATTTTATATTTTATATTTTATATTTTATATTTTATATTTT